TTGCTGAAAGCGAGGGACAAAGAAATGACGATGACGGCGGCGCTCACGCCCACTGGCGACGGATTAGTGGTTGGTTAGAAGGTAGGGAATCTTTCATATTTGCCGAAGATACTTACCCATATATTTCAGTTGCGTACTCAGGTCCATTGCACCATCCTCACTGAATTCCCGCGCATTCATTCCGAAGACCGAGGTCACAAAAGAGAGCGGTAGCTGTTTTCCTTTGTGTTAGTAAATCACTGAATGGCAATGAATCCCACGCGACTTCAGCACTCACAAAGAAGATTGTCACCACCGTGAACACAACGATTGACCGTCCTTGCAACACACTCTCATCTGCTCTTCGGATAGCCGCTTTGGCCTCGATGATGTTGGCCTGCTGTTGCTTCATGTCAAGAAGCTCGCGGAGCTTTTCATATTATTAGCATTGCTTCAAATAGCTCGGATTCGAAGTCGCAAAATGAGATCAACACACCTGAGATCGGGTTTTCGTCTGCAACCTTTCCATGCTCATCAATTCATCGCGTCTTTGGGTAATATCGGCCATTGTGGATTTAACCCGGTCCATGGCCTGTTTCCTTCCATCTGTATCCTGCCCGGGGATAGCGTCAAAAGCCCGAGTGCTGAGAGTGTTGAGCACTTTGATGAGATCCTTCATGACTGATATTTGTTGCGAATAGATTTCCTGCATGATTTGGAGTTCATCAATGACTTGCTGAGCTTCTTCCAGAATTGACCATTCGAATCCAATGTTGAGTGACCTGCGCAGCATCTTTTCTGCAGATTCAAGGCTGTCGAGACTGATTCTGCTCACGTCTCGCCCGAAGCCTTCATATGCAATAGTTTTCTTTTCCGCCTAGTGAAGAGTGAGCCCCAGAAGGTGATATAGGGGCTTAATTTGCAAACTTACGATCTTGGAAATGGCTGAGCTGAAGAGATCGACTAATTCGGGGCGCTGGTCAAGAGGTTTTGTATGATCGAAGAAGACCTTGGAGCATTCATCAACGACGATGAGAGCAATATCATACACAGAGTGTATCTCATCGCCATCGAGCGCACCAAGGCGGTCACGGATTCCACGATGAACAGCGGAAGGGTCTGGTTTATTGCGGCCCCATCTCCTTGGAAAGCTAGAAATGACGGTATCTGGTGGACCCAATCAGCATACTTTGATAGCAAGGGGATGAAAGAAGGAACATACTATCATCCAATATCCAGAGCCAGAGCTGATCTACCATGATGATCCGGGAAGTTGAGTCTGGATCATTGTCATCGCCATAGTGACGAGTGGCCCGACACACCACCTGGTCTCGATCCCGGCGTGTCGTGTCTTCAGCTGTCCAGTAATAGTACTGTTCCAAGGTCCTCCGCATGTGCAGCGGAGGGTCATTGTATAAATGGTCTTCTATTAGCCTCCCATCAGCGGCCTCGTCAATGATCTGGTAGAGCTTGGCAACATGCCAAAAGTACTTGGCCAGTGGGTGGTGCGGACGCCACGCGAGATGCCTTCTCCGCTGGTCCGCTTCAAAGCTTGAAATAGGACGAGCATTCTTTAGGACCTCCTTCTGTGCAATGTCTGCTATTTTGTTTCTCATCCTAAGAGTGTTTGCTCGACGAAGTTTGTCCCTGCGTGACTTGGCCACTTGGACAAACTGTGACATTCGCTGAAGACGCTTCTCTACCTCCCAGTGGAGAAACGGTAGCTGCACACTGTAAGTGTCTGCAAGCGACTGCAACAAGATATTGGAACGGTGTACTTACAAATATGGCGACATCCTTGCGGGAGTTATCCCCTTTCCCCTTTTGCGCTTTGGGGAGAGGAGCAGATGGCACTACAGAGCAGCGGGTAGTTACTTGTCGTGCGTGGACGGGAAGGTTCGTTCCGCCTCGCTGCTGGCCCCTCCATAGCTCGTTTCTCAAAAGGCGTTGAGAGTTGTGCTTAAGGTTATAGACCAGTTTTCCATCAAACTCTACGTTGTCTTCATTGTAGTAGCGGGAAATGGCCTCCTCTACCCATTTCATATTGTTGGCAGGGAGGTGGAAGTATCGCAGTTGACCCTTGCGTGTGTCCCTCTTAAGAGGTGTGCCTTCCTTGTTGTAGAGGAACTGCTGGATGGATATCTTTTGATGAGGGAACTGGCCGTGTACAAGAGGGTGATCAACCGAGACCCAGCCTTTGCCTTGCTCCCAGGCAATGACCCATCCGTTGTAGCCATAGTCCTCTTTGCGAGGATCATCCTCACTACTCACGGGGCCCGACTCTAGGTCTTGCATGTAGGTGTCGGGGCTGATGGAATCCATCGCCTCTGTATAGGATTGCTTCTTCCATTGCTGAACGTATCTGAGGATGATGCGATTCCGGGCCAGATTCGGGGTGTCACCACCTTTCTCAGCCTGCTTCTGGCACTTTGCAATCTCATCAGCGGATCGCTTCAACGCAATATCTCGCCATTTAGTCCGCGAGTCATCAAGCAAAGCTACCAGGGGGAGATCGTCAGCTTTGAAAACCCGGTAGTCCTTGAAGTGCTCGCGAAAGTAGCGAATGCGCCTGATCTCTTTGCGGATCAGTTCCTGCGCCGAAGTGTCAAGAGACTCGTATAACTCCTTGCGTTTGGTGTATCTGGTACGCAGATATTCACTCCACGCATCAAGTACAGGACTAGTGTCCGAGAAGGCGTCCTCTAGTGGATATTCGTAAGGCGGGCGTGTGGACGTCGAGGCGGCGTCGTCTTGGTCGCGGGTTGTGGGGGAAAGATGATACCAGTCTTGTCCTTGTTGTTGCGTCATAGTGTCATTATCATGGGAATCATCAACGTAGTCCAATCAATCATTCACGGTCGTAGGCGGCATTCATCGAGGAGGAAAAGCAAAGGAAAGCAAAAGAAATCCAGTGAATTGCAAAAAAGGAGGTTGCGAGAGAGAAAAACAGAACAGAGACAAAAGTCCAGACGGGAAACAAATGGCTCGCTGGGTGAGGCTGGACTAGAAAAGCAGACCAGGGACAATTCTGGATCAAACCCCGAAAAAAGTGATCAGAAAGGCCATCATCTCACCAGGGTGGAGGCATCCAGGCGCCTGTCGGTAGAACGAGGTCTGAAGCTTCTGCACGAACCCTGTCGCTGCATATAAACTGCCCGGTTCGGAGGAGGTTGGTAGCTGGATGGAAGCACCTTGTCCCAGCACATTGACCAACGACGAGCCGTAGGATAGCCCCGACGCTAGGAAGTTGTTTAATTAGATTAAGAATCAAGCGATCGTTTCGAGAGGAGAAGCCGCACTGGGCTGGCTGAATGATTCCGCGCCCCCTCCCGCCTCGCGAACGACGGTCATTACTAGCTGCATGTAGGCAATTTTGAGGGGACTTGGCTTTGTGGATCATGGAGCTTGTTCTCAGTCACTTCGATCGAAGTACATCAAGTACCTAGGTAGGTAGGTAGGTAAGGTAGCACCTGCCTGTGGGAGTAATCTGGAAGGCAGGTGGCGGTGGCCGACAAACCGCTACCCGAAGCCTCCCACCTCACTCAGCGGCCAACAGCACGTCCACACTGACGGTAGGTGGTGGGTACTGCCTTTTTCGTCTTAGCGCCATTGCCCAGCAGCTGTACCACGCTTGTTCCTTCCCGGGAAGTTGCAGGTCGTACTTTATTTCTTCCAGGTGCCAAACTGCTATTATCCCGTGTTGGAATATGAAGGTACTAAACAAATTGCTCGTAGTCATTTGACTTCGAACATGCATTGTTTCTTAGAAGCCTCCTCCTCGGATCATTTTAGCGTATTCCTATCTGGGTCTCATTTGAATAGAGGGGGTTCGTCTCGGGGTTCACTGGTAGTGTAGTATCGGCATGAGCATTCTTGTACTTCTATGATGCATGAGCTGTACAACGTGGAACAGCCAAATTTACAACCACATGCTATGGCTCTCATCGTTACCATGAACTCAACTATGACGCCGGGCACTCCTTCAATCTTGCCGCCTTTGTGGGGAGACTTCTATCTATTAGCATTTAACAGCCCTGTGACTTGTGCTCTGCCTCTGTTCCGAAGCATTGGAGGTCTCTCAAACAATATACAAACAAACGAGGACGCAGGCATACTCGGGCCTTCAACTACTGTTAGAACTCCGTTATTCGAAGACCGAGTGTAAACACTGCGATGAACCGTTGTTTTTGCAAAAAGCAAATCTTATTGCACTAGGGTAGTCAATAGTAGTGCAACACCAGATAAAAACTTGCCCAACCGTCAAGTCTTGGCGAGCTTGCCCTCCAGGCCGATATTAAACCCCCTTCTACCTCCCCGGGGTGTAGCCGTAAGCATCAGGATTTTATTTCCAGCGGTTTGAGGAGCCACAGAAGTGTTAGGCTGAGGGCATTGAGATTCAGACGCGGGAACATTGGAAGGCAATGGAAGAGGCAGCAGAAGATGTTGCCCTATTATTATAGTGACTACATATTTAAGAAAGAGAATCCCATGCTGAAGCCTGTGCGGATACGAATAAAGCTATCGCTCTCTGGATTTTGGCTCCCCATCTTTTGTGCTTCTTGAAAATGGCTGCAGTCTCTTGGAGGGGTGCCAATCGAGGGAATCCTGTAAGAAATTCTGCTGTGACTATGTACGAGTTTATGCAAGTGACATACCCAGTGGCCTCAAGGAGACCAAGGCGGGCTCCGTCTTAAAAGCGGCGTTGCTCAGACAATGTTCAACTATCTCAGTTGCATTTTGACTTGTAGTTGTCGAATACCTGCTGGGTAATACATGATCACCGCCAAGACCTGTCAAGTGCACACAAAGACGCATACGAGCTCTCGCCGTGTGAGTCTGTAATCGCCGAGTTTCAGGTTGCCATCAAGTTCATGTTCCGCGGGTTACTATTGAATATATTATGCCACTTTGTTGCTGGAATGTTATGTACATGTATGTATAGATTGTCTAGTTTCACACTGTCGAGGTCTTCCCGTCTTCCCAATATCCAAGTTGAGCTGGGTCACTAATCAATAACCTACCTACATCAAGCTGCTTCGGCCGCCAATCTCCATGCTCGGCTGCCCATCCTTCAGTTGCCCGCTCCGTCCAACCACAAACTCGTGATAGATCCGTTGGAGCCTTGACCGCTCCTCCGAACTGATGCTTGCCCTGGTCGATTCAAGGGCTTTTTCAACATGAACTTGCCCAATTACAACTTCCTTCTCTTGACCACTTCCCTTACCCTCTGGCTTAGATGGCATTCTCAAGCCTTTTTGGGAGTCCCTGGCTTTGCGCTTTGCCAACTTAATTTCCTCCAACTTGGAGACGATGGCTGCTCTCTCCACAGCCCACGCCGCTTGACTTTTGGCGCTGGTCTCCTCTGCTGAGAGGCTGTCTCCGTATTGGAATTGGACAAAGTTACTGGTCCTATTTACATTGGACTGCCCATTGGGCCGTTTGTCGGGGGCTCCCGATGGCTCAGCGTCGAGGGCATCATGAATAGCTTCAAGCTGAGAGTTGGATACGAGAGCTTGGAGATCAGCTCCGGAGAAACCCTCTGTCTGGCCGGCAATGTCTCTGAGAACGTCGTCCGATTCGCTCAATTCGGGAGCCAGCTTGACCTTCTGGAAAAGGGCCTTGAGGATATCCAGCCGATCTTCTGGCGCTGGCAGGTCGCAAAGCAACGACTTATCTAGACGACCTGGGCGTAGTAAAGCTGGGTCAATGAGGTCTGGTCGCGACGTGGCAGCCAAAACATAAACACCAGAGAGCCCTTCAGCACCATCCATTTGGGTCAAGAGCTGATTTACTACTCGATCTGTAACACCTGTCGAGTCGTGCCCTCTTTTTGGTGCGATAGAATCAAACTCATCAAAGAATAGCACACAGGGCTTTGCCGCTTGAGCCCTGTCAAATAAATCTCGAACGCTCTTTTCTGACGCACCAATGTACTTGTTGAGAATTTCGGGACCCTTCACGCTGATAAAATTCAGACCACACTCTCCTGCGACGGCACTCGCGAGAAGTGTTTTGCCACAACCAGGGTAGCCGTAGAGCAATAGACCAGATCGCAGCCGAAGTGGGCATTGGGCGAAAATAGGCGCATATTTAGTAGGGTACTGGAGTGTTTCGAGGAGAACCTTCCTGGTTTCCTGAAGCCCGCCGATCGACTTGAACGTAGTTGTTGAGCTCTGAAGAGACACGTTGCGAAGAGATGCTGGCGTGAAACCTTCCAAAGCTTTATCAAAGTCAACTCGGGTTAACCGAATCAATTCGTTCCCGGGGCCATTGGGATCTATTCCAATAGCTCGAATGATTGCCTCGTTTCTCGCACGTGAAACGAGGACAGTGATATCGCCGGGCATATATCCATCCGTCGACCCCGATATATCCAAGAAATCCAAGTCCGGATCCAGCAGAAATCCGTTGTTGGTAAGTGGCTGTGGACGATCTCGACTGGTTTGGCTTGCTCCATCCATCCAGGCACCACTATCATCGTCGCACGCACTGGTGCTGCCGTCCGCCGTAGCTGGTCGGCTATTGTCCCACCCGTTTTCTTCACTGTCACGAGGTGCGTCAACGGCGCCTTCTCTTGCAATGGCCTCCATGATCCGTCTCCTGGCCTCCTTTCCTGGCGCCTTGAGTTCCACAATATCCCGTACGACGTGTCCACTCACCACCACACTGTTCAGCGAGTCTTTTCCTTCAGCAGTCGCAAGCAATACAACGCCATTCTCGGCATTGCAATATTGCCGAACAACAGACCGCACGATTTCGCTAACCTGTCGACTTCTCCCGTTGTCATTACCGACTTGGAGCTCTGTTTCGACAGGGCAGAGCCGATCCAGGTCATCAAGGACAACTAGGGCCTTGCCACCGAGCCTAGCCCCCCAACTAGCTGACATGAAAATGTGATTCAATGTCTCCTTGATAGTCGATATTCTCGTTTCATCCGTAACTAGCTTGCGACAAGAATAGTAAATAGTGTGGAAAAGGAGGTCTTGGCGAAGCTTGGAAGCTAGATGCTTTGCCACAGATGTTTTCCCTGACCCCATTGCTCCTGTCAGAAGCAGTGATGATAGATGTGACAACTGCCCTTGCAAGTCCTCAAGAATTGAATCCACACCCACCAGAGCGGAATCGTTGGCAGGCTGGAGATCGTAGTCTTCCTCCGCCTTGACAAAGTCTTTCTTCGGAACGGGAGGCTGGAACTCGATGGGTGTTTTATCGTCAAGCCCAAGTAGCCAGCGTGCATGGTCCTTGCTCTGCTCCTGCGCTGTCTGGTCCGCAGAAAGTTCGAATTTGACATAACCACCCTCCCAACTTTTGGGAGCATCCAAACCCTCATAAACCCCAAGGACTGTGCCATCTGTGATTGGACCTTTTATTAATCCACCAACACCCGTGGCAGTTTTCGAGTAAAGATGTCTGAACTGCTTTGCCGCCTCTTCCTTTTCGGCGCGAGACTCCCCACCGAACCGAAGACCGCTACTGGAGTCTGAGCTGGGCGCAAAAGGGAAGATCTTGACATGCTTGACAGCCCCTCGACCAAGTTGCTGTGTAGCTGCTTGGATCTTGACAACACCACCAACAAGACCCAGAGATCCAAGAGCGGCGCAGAGCGGTGATGACAGAGCGGCAGTCTGTCCATTCGGAGGATCATCCCAAGGTCGCAAATGGGCAACAACTTTGGGTGGGGCCAGCCCTTTTGCAGCATCTGGGGCAGATGCTCCGTCATCAGGCTGGAGTTTCTGAAGACCACCGGGTTTCATCAACTCGACAAGAACGTAGTTAATGCCATTGAATGAAGCAGATGAGAGAGTATCGCGATCAACCCACACGCTCAGCTCGTGGAGAACGGGGCCCTCGTCAAAGAAATCAAGGCAAACCCCTCGGTCCAGACCTCGCAAGAACAGTGTCGGCTGCTTTTCCTCTCGAGCGCTCCTTCGACGTATGGTACTTGCCCCGCTGCGCTTCGACTTGGATGTGCTTGCGACACTTCGATGGTCACCTGAGCTCTGAGAGGCTTTAGCTCTCGTTTTCGGCGCAACAATGACCTCGGCGTTTGGGGACAACTTTGCGAAAGCGGAATTGGCTGGAGGCACCGGCTCTAGTGACACAACTCGAATGTTTGCGGTTGAAGTTGGGGATAGGTGAAGTGTCAATGTATTCGAGAGAATCGGAACACCGCCCTCCGTGGGACTATAGGCGGGGTTGGGGAGCGCCCGGACTTGATTCTGCAAATTGAGCTCCAAGAAAGTTGGGTGAAGTTCAATAATCTCCCAATCTTCAGGTGTCAATGGCTCAATATTGATCGTATGCGCCACGGGAGGATCGACATGGACGGTAGCCGTGACCTTCAATCCCTCGGAAAGGTCGAGCGCTTTTGCCAGCGTCGCATCTATTTCCACCAGTTGCGTATCCTGGTCTCGCGATCTTGAGCTGCTGATCCCATCGCGTCCAACAGGGGCTGCGGTTTTCCTCTTGCTGGGCATACCCGTCCAACCCACATATATCGATCGTTGTTGGCCTCCGGTACCGGATTGCGCAACTGGAGAGTGGTGGCGGAAGGTGAGCTCGACAATGACATTTTGAATAGGCTGCATATACGTTAGAGAAAGGAGACTTGTGGAACAAGAGAGTGGAAGAAGAAGCGAAATCTCTTACCGTGTTCACGTTTAGCAATAATGATACTAATGAAGGGGGTAAGTTGACGAAGCAGTTTTTGAGGTGGACAAGCGAGAGCTCTGCGGCCAGAGACTGCCCGCTCCTTCTTGGCGCCATTTTGTTGTAACAGCAATTGGATGCGACTCAAAGCTACAGAGTGCCTCAAATATAGCTAACAGGAGTAAAGCTCTTTGACAATCCAACTTCCCCACGGGTAACCATGGAGCCGAGGCATGTGTACATGTGCCGATTTACTTCTCCGCGAAAGCTAGCCACAGGAGGTGGGACTGCTTGCGCCACACACCATATCTCCTGCTCTAACCTCAACGGTTTAGCGTTGTCATTTAAAATGCATATGTGGCTGTGACGACGCGACCACGCGAGAGGACGCGAAAAGTCGCGTTTAGTGAAGAACCGCATCTCATCCCTGCCATGTCCAGCCCCCCCACTAATAGCCTGCTTCTCCATTGGGTTTGCATTGAGGAGCATCGCAAACTTGACGAACTCAACAACGTTGGGGATACATGATCCAACGTCTTGCACACCTTGCTTCTGTACCAATACAGATTGTGCGCAAAGTCCCTTACAAAGATTAGATCAAGATGGAGCAACGCCGTCTCCCTGAGCACAAGGCCCCCGAGTATGGGAAGCAACAAAGTCAGTTGCAACTGTTCAGAGCTGTCGTTTGGAATTGATGCTAACCTTGGTGCAGGTGCTCTCGAATCTTTCCTGACGGATTTCAAAACTTCCCCAGAGCACACCCTGGCAACAGCGCTCGGGGATATTACGATTGATGAGGATGATCTTAGCGACGACAATGACCTGATGGATGATGCCGACGATGATCAGGAAGCTCATGATCGTCGGCGCGAAGAGAGACGGCAAAAACGAACACCTCAATACATCTATAAAGACACGCTACAAAAGCTGGCCAATAGAACCATTGAGGAGGTGACGATCGATCTCGATGATCTGGCAGCGGTACGACCTCGATTTTCATTCCCGCAAGCTCTTTTCGACATACTAACTAGGTAACTAGTGGGAGGAACAACATGACGAATATGAAAAGCTCAATCTCGTGAGCAATATTGAAGAGAATACCAAACATTATGTTGAGATCATGTCAAGGGCGATCGATAAGCTATTACCCCCGCCCGATGCGGATGTTACGTGAGTGTGGGAAACGAAGACAAGCAAACTTATTCTTGGCTGGATCGGTGCTGATTTTCTTCTGCTAGATTCAAGGATGATGTGCTCGATATTTTGAATGCGCGCCGCCAGGAAATGAATCGTATGTGGGAGGAGGCCCAGGAGCGCGACCCTTCCATCGAGCAGAGCAAGTTCCCTGCTGAACTCACCCGCCGATACACACTCCTATTTAAACCTAGATCTGGCACCACTGATAATCCTGCCAAGGCACTGGCAGTGCGCCATGTTCGAGGAGATCATCTTGGACACCTCATTACCGTGCGGGCTATTGCAACAAGGGTATCTGATGTGAAGCCTATCGTGCAGGTTAATGCTTATTCTTGCGATCGTTGCGGCAGCGAAATTTTCCAGCCTGTCAGCGACAAGCAATTCGGGCCCCTGATCTCTTGTCCATCTCCAGATTGCAAGACAAACCAGGCCAAAGGTCAATTGACACCATCCACCCGAGGATCTAAGTTCCTACCTTTCCAGGAAATCAAGGTGCAGGAAATGGCAGAGCAGGTTCCTATCGGCCAGATCCCCAGAACTCTCACCGTTCTTTGCTATGGTAGCGTCGTTCGCCAAATCAACCCAGGTGATGTGGTCGATATCTCTGGAATCTTTCTCCCCACGCCGTACACTGGATTCAAGGCTATGAAGGCTGGCTTGTTGACAGATACCTATCTTGAGGCGCACCACATCGTCCAGCACAAGAAGGCTTACAGCGAGATGATTATCGATCCCGCCTTGGTTCGAAGAATCGACAAGTACCGACAGACTGGACAGGTCTATGAAATGTTGGCCAAATCCATTGCGCCAGAAATCTTTGGTCACCTCGACGTGAAGAAGGCTCTCTTGCTGCTTCTTATTGGCGGTGTGAACAAGGTGGTTGGTGACGGCATGAAGATTCGTGGTGATGTCAATATTTGCCTAATGGGTGATCCTGGTGTTGCCAAATCCCAGCTTCTCAAGTATATTTCCAAGGTCGCCCCACGAGGTGTGTATACCTCTGGTCGTGGCAGCAGTGGTGTCGGTTTAACTGCCGCGGTTATGCGAGACCCTGTCACAGATGAGATGGTCCTCGAAGGTGGCGCCCTCGTTCTTGCAGACAACGGTATCTGCTGTATCGATGAATTCGACAAGATGGACGATAATGACCGTACCGCCATCCACGAAGTCATGGAACAGCAAACAATTTCCATCTCAAAGGCGGGTATCTCGACCACTCTCAATGCTCGCACGTCGATTTTGGCTGCAGCCAATCCTATTTATGGACGATACAACCCGCGCATTTCCCCAGTCGAAAACATCAACCTCCCTGCCGCTTTGCTCTCCCGATTTGACATCTTATTTCTCTTGCTTGATACCCCAACCCGCGAAAGCGACGAGCAGCTTGCGAAGCACGTGGCCTTTGTTCACATGAACAGCCGTCACCCCGACGCTGTCGTGTTCACGCCTCATGAAGTTCGATCTTATGTCGCTCAGGCGCGCACATACAGGCCCGTTGTGCCCGAGTCTGTCTCCGAGTACATGATCAAGACGTACGTCCGGATGCGAGACCAGCAGCAGCGAGCAGAAAAGAAGGGTAAGCAGTTCACTCACACTACGCCTCGTACTCTTCTCGGTGTCGTCCGTCTGTCACAGGCTCTCGCTCGTCTCCGTTTTAGCAACGAGGTCACGCAGGACGATGTTGACGAGGCTCTGCGCCTGGTCGAGGCCAGCAAGGAGAGTCTGAACCAGGACCTCGGAACCGGTCGACGTGGTCTGAATGCCAGCAGCAAGATCTACAACCTCGTCAAGGCGCTGGCTGACTCTGGCGCATGCCGTCCAGAGGGTGCAGAAGACGAGGACGAGTTTGGCATTGAATTAAGCATGCGAAAGGTTAAGGAGAGAGTGATTGCCAAGGGCTTCACCGAGGATCAGTGGCTCCACGCACTCGAGGAATATACCACTCTTGATGTAAGCCTTGACTGTCCATCATACTGTTACTTCAGAAGTACTGACAAATTTCTTAGGTATGGCAAACAGCCGGCAATGGAACAAGGCTGGTATTTGTTACTGTTGATAATGAGGGTGAGGACATGGATATCTGAGAGGTGCCACAGGGTGGTGTTTTGGCCGACATGTTGTCCCTATGATTTTTGAAATATGTATTGCCTCATGACTGCAGGTCTTCTTGGCGTTTTGGGAATGGATTTGGGCTGAAGGCGTGAGAAGTGGTGTCGTGTAGTTTGATAAAATCGTTCAGCTGAAGGACTTAACGTCAAATATGGAAATTTTTGAGAGAAAAAGGAAACCTCAGCAATGGACGAAAATATCAGGAATAATTTCTTTTCCGCGAGTGAATACAGATTATACAAGATAATATTGTACATGATGTTACATCCTCATCGTCAACAAGGCTACCCTCTCCATCTCTCCCACATTTCCATTGCCGGCAAGCGCCCACTTCTCCCGGATTGTGTGGTTGTTAACCACATTGCGCAGGAGTCCGCTTGCGGCCCAGTAGCCCATCAAGGTCTTCGTGTCGTCGTGATTAATACCCTCAATGCGAAGGACGGAGGTATTCTTTAGCGATTCATACACCCGCTCGTCATAGTTCTTCTCATAGGGATCGGGCGTGGGGATGGGCTTGCCCGACTGACCCGCTTCCAGCTGAGCGAGGACCAGCTCCTGTGAAGGGTGGAACTGCATGTTGTTTCCGGAGGTGGAAGCAATCACCGCACCGCCGTTTGGAAGTTTGGTCTTTCCTGATAGGGCATCGACAAAGGTTCGGACAAGAGCGAGGTCGTGCGAGTGAATGAGGTTGAAAGCAGGGTCCCGGTATTGGCTCAGCTTGCTGATATGAGAAAGGCCGTCGAGACTGAATAAAACGGGAGGGCGTCCTGGGAGCGTCAATTCGGTCCACAGGGCGTTGAACGTCGTCCAAGCAAATTCAGACTCTTTGCAGGTCAAGATGAGCTCTGCGAGGGAGTTGCCCTTCTGGAGGCCAGTGAGAGACCAATCCTTCTCAACCTTCAGAGATTCGAGTACCGCTTTGTTGGCTTTGTATATAGTTTGAAGCAGTCTCAAGACGTAGACTGGCTGTGAGTAGACTGCGGGTTCGGTATTTGGAATTTGGGCGTAGTCTGTATTTCCGTTGGTCAAATCTTGAGCTGTATCTGAATGTTAGCAACCTGGTTTTGTTGGATTAGGAGGCTGAAGCGCCCTTACCCTCAGGAATGTTAATGACCACCCATTTGTTCAGGAGGGCATATGAAATGGCCTGGAGGACTGCCAAACTCTTCCCCGAAAGTTTGCTTCCCGTCAGGACAATCTTCTCTGCTTCCTTCTTCTTGGCTGCATTCTCCAGCCTGCTACCCAGCTCCACGGCCTCTTTCCTCGCCAAGAAATGCGGCTTCCGGAACAGATTCCACGCCTGTGTCGCCTTGAACGCCTCGAGAGTCCTCAGCTGGTCGATGATCTCATCCGGGACAGAGAACATCTTGCCGGCGCTCGAGCTCTGGGCCAGGGTGTCGGCCTTTAGCACCTCGATCCCTTCCACGGCGAGGGCGCTATTGTTGCTCAGCTGGATGCGCTTCCGGAACGCCTTGCGCTCGCCAGGGTTGGGCTTCTTCATGGGCGCGGAAGTCGAGCCGCCGCCCTTCTTGAAATTCTTCTTCATCTTCGTACTCGTTACAACGGAGGACTTTGGGGCGCGGCCAGTTACCGCAGAGAGTGTCGTCGTAGTCGAAAATGAGGAGCTGATAATGGGGTACAATCGGGGTGCGACCGGGATTGACGGCCGCATGAGCGACCGCAGCGAGTTTGCGGAGGCCATAGCGGCTATTGGAACTGATTTCCCTTCAGTTCAATCGCGCAATGGCTGGGTTGAGGCGAACAGGCTCACCGTGGTGATACCTCTCAAGCTGTAGGTTGTCCGACAACGAAAAACTTACTGTCTTACCTAAGCGGCAGGTAAGGCGATATGTGGGGGTTTGCTTAGGTCCATCACAGCGGAAAATACTGGCACCGCTAAGTGCGATGGATTGCAGGCGGCGTTGTTATCGATAGTGCTCGCCAGCAGAAAAAAAAATACTGCCGTTACAAGTACTTTGGCTGCATCCTTCTGATATACCCACGTGCATTGGAAAACTCGAGCTTACCCTCAAGTGCACCTCAATTCCTATTTTTATTTTCGGTTTCGCTATATCCGTACAATTGCGACAAACATCGCTAAAATGGAAGGAAAGACCAAGCTCGTCGTGGCCGTCGACAAGCCCACGCCATACACCTTCGACCTGGGCCTTCTCATGGCAGAGGACCCCAACCCAATCGTCCTCGACCACTCCTCCATCGAGCAGTCTCTCGCCGAGGTCGCGCGCGACGGAGCTCAGGCCCTGATCAACCAGCTGCTCTCGACCTGCCCCCTCAGCTCCACCAAGGAAGGCGTCCTCCTCTCGCTTCCGCCACCCAGCACACACCTGCCGCGAGAGAAGCCCGTCCCCCAGGCCAAAGAACCCACCAAATGGGAGCGCTTTGCTGCGAAGAAGGGCATCAAGCCCAAGACCCGCGAGCAGCGCAAGAATCTGGCCTTTGATGAGCAGTCTGGTGAATGGAAGCGCAAGTGGGGATACCAGGGACTGAACAAGAAGGGCCAGGACGACCCCATCATCGAGGTGGACATGAATGCCGAGAGAGAGCGCAAGGAGGGGACCAGCGTTCGGGGAGACAACAGGAGACAGCGAAAAGAGAACATGAGGAGGAACGAGAGGATGATGAAGAAGAACGCAAGACAAGGCCAGGCCAACGGAGGAAAGCGGTAACGGGGGAGGATTACGACGGGTGGAAAAGCGATTGGAACATAAAACGATTTGTTACCTGGCTTTTGCAAAATCTAGAGAGGATGAGCACCAGGTTCGGCGTTGCAAGGCTGGCGTTTTCATGGCACTTGATTCGATCTGAAGTTGATATCTGTATATTTGACTTCATACCGATAATTCCGGTTTCTAATGGCGATGAATATAAAAAAATCACAAAACATTAAAAACACATTCCAGGGTTCCCTCAAACCCAGTTTTCCATTGTTCAAACCATGATATGAATGTCCCCATTCTCCAAAACGACGGAGCAATTGCTTGCTGGAAACAAGTCTCTGGCCTACCAGGTGGGTATCTGCTTCATACACCTCCCCAATGCGAATAGTGATTCATCTGAGCTAGCGGATAGGCGAATATCCTGGTCATGCGATCCCTACTTCCACACGGATTTTGCGTCTCGCGTCACAGTTTTCACCCGTGCGATGTCAGTCTTATCGCAGGGGTTGTCCTCCAGGTTCGAAACACTGGCGAATACACGACGACGAAGAATATACCAACTTGCTGGTGTATGTAATCGACCCGAGCTGAGGATAGATTCTAGCTAATTGCAGCCAAATTTTATAGACATATGAAAACATCTCTGCTTGCGAGAAACCTTGTTTGATTATGAAAACGCAGTCTGAGCAGAAATGTAGAGCGAGAGGGCCGAAGCAATTTGAAATCAAGAGTCGTGGACAGCGTAAAGTCGTAAATCGGGTGCGAGTGAAAATCCTTCATTAATGAATAGATTCTACAAGGGTATCTTGTCGAAAATTAAACCCATCAAAAGCACGTAAGGCGGTTGCTGAGGGTACAGCTTTTATTTAAAACCAAGTGGTGACAGCGGTGCGATTGGAGACAGCTGAACTTGGTCACCCCTGCTCGGAAGCGCCAGAGACGTGCTCGTTATTTTGTCCCCGCGCTCGGAGTTTCCCCTTAGATGCGTCTCTCTTAGTGTCGGTTGACGAGTGGGCTCAAATGCCTGATGATCATCTAGATTATGATAGGAGGGTGCCGTGCTGTTCGACCTACTTGAAACATGCGACTGCTGCTCTTCCCGTGGCCTGGGCTCATCTTGGACGTTTTCGAGATTGGGGGATTGGCCATGTTCAGTAACGGTTATGGGAGGCGGCTGATCGAGAAGAATGTACTCTTGTTCGATATAAGCTGCCTCGTTTTTGCAGCCTTTCCAGCATTCTCTCCAATCACAGACCAGGAACTTGAAACAAAATGCGTCAATCTTCATGCATGGCTGAAAGCAGATGCAAAGGTTGCGGAAGTCCATCTTGTTTTTATCGGAATGGGCCAGGAGGAGACTGAGATGACAGGTGATGGCGAAAAGTAGATAATACTGGAATGGCGAGAGGTTTGACAGTTCATCGATTAGAAGTTGCGGTACCGTCTCGGCTCCTGCACACTCTCGTGCAATCCGTTCCTGGGCAGCCTTGGGGAACAGCTCGTCTGGTAGCTCACGCAACCACGCCTTGAGCATTGAGCCAATGATATTAATATCATAGAGATCCTTGGCTTCAAAAAGATTGACATCATAATCTGTGGGAGGGGAAAGACATGTTAGTGAACGGCGCGGCCAATATTCCAAGACCGTCGAGGGACAACCTACTCTCATCAAACCGTCTCTGCCACCTCTTGATCTGTGGCCCACTGCCAGGAACACGATAAAGGCCCTCCACTTCGCAGCCCTTGTAATTCAAATAATCAATAGCTCTCCATGGGAAAGCTGGCATCCAGAATTCGGTCTTATCCCTGGAATCTTCAAGACGTTTTGAAATGCGTGTCCGGCGCGTCTGCTCGACGAGTGGTAGATTAATAACCTTCAACTCGTAGTGCTCATCATCCACACCCCCATAGCCCTTGTCGTTGCCGCCAGAACGACCTCCCTTCCCAAAGAACCCTTTGCTGAACATAGCGGCGCGGGTGGAAGAGCTTCTTAGACCGCTCAAGAAAGTCGACCCGTGGTCTCGGTTTGGTGGTGGGGTTCCTCGTCCTCTTTCCTCACGAGGGCGCTCTCTGCTTCTGGAATCATCCCGGCCAACGAATGAACGATCCTCAGACCGGGCACGGAGTGAAGCATCCGTCTCATCTCGAAACGCTCGCTCGCTCTGCTCAGGTGAGGTTGGGAGAGGGGGGGAATCGCCCCGAGGGCTGTAATCTCTTGCGCCCGAAGGCATTTGGTCCGGTATGGATCTGGCGCCGTTGGCGTCTTTATCACGGAGTGATTTCGTTCGGCTCAGGATACCAAATGGCTTTTGTTTGTTGCTTTTCCTGCCAGTACTACTGGCAGAGGCAAAGGCAGCGGGGTTGGCCTCGCGGTCGCCAGCAGATGAAAGCGAAAAATTGGACGGCGATTCTCGCAGCGCCTGATTATCGGAATGCTCCGGTGGGAAGCCTGTGATTATAATTAGCCTTTTGCTCCGGTTCACGCATCATAGCTGCCAAATGAGTCGCCAAGATAGAGTTCGCGTGAGCCCGGTATAAATGCGCCCCCTCTTTCCCCTTTCTGCCGCCCGTTTGCGCGCTACCACTTTCATTCCAGCACCTGCTCTGACAAATGCCGATGGATCTTCTGGTTCGCCAACAATGACTGTACAACTTACCTCCAGACCCCGAGGCAAAATTGGGTTCGCTCGGTGCTATTTGGTTCGCCTGGTATCGCGGATTCGGTTGTTGTTGGGGAGGCGGAGGATGAGTGGGAAGCTGGTTGTGAGTCCTCGAGGATTTCGAAAAGTGGAAGAGACCACCGCTCTTGGACTTCTTGCTCTCGTGGGTCGGTTGGCGTAAGGGGGGACCTTTGGGCTGGTCGAGGACTGAGTTTATAGGCGAAAAAGGAGGCGCCTCCGGTTGGTTGAGAGGGTCAAGCGATGGATGCGAAGGTCGGTGGTAGTCGTTGTGGGGGTCGAACTCGGGGTTGTTGGAGCCGGATTTTGCGGTTTGCGGTCTTTTCTTTGTTGCGAATTTAGATCGAAAGGATGGCGAGGTTCCTCCCGAGTTGGGCGACCTTGAATCAATGGGGGAGAGGCCTGATGCGGTGGAGGAGGTAGCGTCGGGATCAGTCGACACGTTGTAGTAGTCCCGAGAGTGGTTTTGGGCGGTGGCTTTGCTGGGATCGTATAGCGACAACGGCTGAGGAGCCGGCTTCTTGCGTCCTGATGGCATCGTTTGGGGAGATACGAGGAACCAGCGACTGGACCTTAATAACGCTACACCTCTGGCCAGCCTTGTCCCGCGAGATGGCGGCGGTGCCTGGGAGTAGCGGCTTTCTTGCTGGGTCCGTTAGGTCAGGGTGACCCAGAGAATGGATTGGGGGGGTGTGCTTGGACGGTGGGCAAAATGAAACTACTGTAAGCAAACGAAGTTCAAGGCGGGAGTGCTCCAGGCTGAGCCAAACCCAGTTTGGCAGTAGGCTGATGCCTCTCGCTGACGGGACGGGGCAGTCGGCGGGTGTCACAGACTCACAGCGCACTGAGAAACAGATTCAGAGGCTGGAGCTGGAGGACTGGCAACTGGCAGGAGTTCCAAGATCCCGTATGTTGACGGGCAAGGGGGGGGCTCGCTCTCACGCTACACAAAGAAACTGGCATTCCATGCAAGGCCCAGGACACGGCAGATCAGGTAAGGGAACAGGCATGGATGCAATCAAACTGAGCTGAAAGGGCGACAAACAAATGCACATACTGTACCGCTATACATGGGTTCAAATGTGTAACCGCCGCGACAGCATGTAAAACCGGGAGGAGGGGGGCGCTTGTAGGGCGCTTGAAGGAGGAGGAGGGGCCAATGAGAGGTACCTCCAATAGGTAGGAGGGTAGCCGGGGATGGGAAACAACAAATACATGTATGGACGGAGTCTCGTTTTTGAGAAACAAAGGGGTGGGTTGGATGTTAATTATTTCATCAACTCCAGCAATGACCTGTTGTTCTCGAGCTCCTGCACATGCATGCTATTGCATGCGGCAGAGGGGCGGTTTGTTTATTATGAAAGCGCGACTGATATGGTCCCATTGGCACCTATAGATGATGTGCCTCAGCAGGCGAGCTTCTGCAACCTGGTGGTCGCAGGCCTTCATCACGCACTGCAGGCACCTCCGCTGCGAGTGTTGGGGGCGGAAGGCCACGCGACACATTAAATTACAGGCACCTCTATAAGGCCCAGGGCCCGGTTGGCGCCCTGTTCAGGTACAAGTGTCCAGGGGAATTGCTTCCCCAAACAACCTGGAATGAAACGTCACTCAGTCTCAGGCACACTCACTTTTACTGCCCAACAACGACAGGCTAATTAGGTCCATGGCACTATTACGTGTTCCGGGGCTGGTTGGGCCAGTCCTTGGCCAGTCCATGGCTGGGCAAATTATGGGCGGCCATGCTCTTGCTCCCAGCTCGGCTCTTGGTGCCTGCACCCGCTGCCATTGCGACATCTGAAACAAGGACGGGACAGCCAATGGGCCGTGTTTCTGCCCACCGCTATCCACGCGGCCTCCAGGCTAATCGGTGTCAAGAGTGTGAGTACTGTCTCGAAATCTCTGTCCTTCCACTCGCTGCCCCTGCCTGTACGTTTCCGTGTGGAGATACTTGCGTAAGGCAAGTAGCCAACGACACTTCCAGAAGACTGCCATATCGCCTGTGTGGACTGTCAAACTGAGCTGGAATCCAATATGGCGATGAGCTTCCGCCGCCAGAGCTATTGAAGCTCTAGACCACATGGTGTCTCCCGCTACGTGACGACGGGCCCTGACTATCGTTTAATGGTACATGGAAACCCTCATTTTCCTTGGCCAATACACCCGCCAAGCCCCTGAGACTTACCTAGAGGCTACGCCTGAATATATAACACGGCACCAGATATACCCAAATGATCGGCACATTTGGCAGTGCAAACTCACCTGATAGCGGCTTCCCCGGCTGCTGACTCGGGAGCAACAAAACCTCTATGGTGGCAGTGCCAACATCATGATAAGTGCTAATTATGGGGAATAGAGAAGAAAGCTTGCCCTACCTACCTACATGATGAGACAGGCAAGAGTACGATCCAATAGATTTGCGGCTCTTTACGCCCGAATCTTGCCACCTCAATATTCCAGGTAGACATGACTCGTATTCGTAGAGCGCATAATGTTCATGACCACACCATCACCATCATCACCCGTCACCAGGAGCAGCCAGCAGCTAGGCTTTGGACCTACTACTAGCGTCATTTGTTTGCTTGACTCGGCCTCAGGCACCGTGGTAGCTCACTCCGCCATATTGGGTATCCTTGGTGTGCAATTTACCCTCCCAATCGAATCTTAACGCGCATGCTCTGAAGTCTCAGCCAACCACTACAAGCGCCATAGAATCGAATATCGGATTTGTGTTTCGGACCAGGAGGTTGGTAATCAGGATTTCGCCTTGTGGCCCTTCCGATTCAAGTGCTTCAGGTCTGGGGAACAACCTCAGGCGATCTGCGTCATCCTGCAGTTGGAGGGAGCCAGATCCAGGTCCTCCAAGTTTCTGAAAATAGCCTCCCACTACAAATTTTTGTCGCATGAATGTATCCATATCATAGCTATGCAGCTCCTCAGCAAAACAATGCCATGTATTTTCCGGATCTCCATATCAACACCCAGCTTCTGTCATTATTCTCACGGTGGGGCTCATATTGGGGGCCCATGAACTCATGTCTTTGCATCTACATGGCTTTGAAAGATCTACCTAGGTATCCGGCAAATTGGAAGTCTTAGACCGAGAATGACCGTTGTATACTACTGAGCACGCCTACATTTTTCAGATCACGTTGCAATCAGCCTCGTGTACTTATGTAGGTAGCTTCATCGTGTGATCACGTGACACTGACATGTGCTCTCAAGACAACCATTGAAGAAAGTCGCTGCCTTGCGCTCTTGCAAACACTGCTGTGCCTCCAAATAACTTCATATTAGCCTGCCATGTCCGCGACAAGCCAGCCTTCGGGGCTTCCTATCCTCGCTACAGATGTTCATGTCAGTTACATCCAAAGCCTCGATACGAAAAAGGACGAGCTCGATTATTGGTTGACAGAGCACCTCCGACTTAATGGCCTCTACTGGGGGCTCACAGCTCTTCACCTTCTTGGTCGCCCAGATGCTCTCCCCCGGCAAGAAACTATAGATTTTGTACTTTCTTGTCAGCACGAGAACGGTGGCTTTGGGGCAGCACCTGGTCATGATGCCCACATGCTGTCCACAGTAAGCGCTGTGCAGATTCTCGCCATGGCCGACGGGTTCGATGACCTAGAGACCAAAGGCAAGGGTAAACAACAGGTTGGAAACTGTATGCTTTACGGATAATCTCTGCCCGGGAGCCCGTCTAATGTTTTATTTTCCATAGATATTGCCAATCTTCAGAACCGTGAAACAGGCACATTCTCGGGCGACGAATGGGGTGAGGAGGATACTCGTTTTCTCTACGGAGCACTCAACGCACTGTCTCTTCTGGGCCTTCTATCACTTGCCGACGTAGACAAAGCTGTATCATATGTTGTGTCGTGCACCAACCACGATGGGGGTTACGGCGTGCGGCCTGGAGCCGAGTCTCATTCTGGCCAAATCTTCACGTGCGTCGCTACCCTCGCTATCGCCCAGCGTCTTGATCTGGTCGACAAGGAGAAGCTGGGCCGCTGGCTCAGCGAGCGGCAAGTTCCCTGCGGCGGTTTGAATGGCCGGCCGGAGAAGCAGGAGGATGTCTGCTACAGCTGGTGGGTCTTGAGCAGCTTGAAGATTATCGATCTCGTGCACTGGATTGACCGAGAGGCATTGATCCGCTTCATTCTAAGTTGCCAAGACAAGGAATCAGGCGGGATTTCGGACAGGCCTAATAATCGAGTCGACGTTTGGCACACATGTTTCGGGCTCGCAGGCCTAAGTTTACTCGGCTACCCTGACATGGAGGCGGTTGATCCTGTTTACTGCATGCCGAAGCCTGTCATTAAAAGGATACTGGGATGAATAATATGATGTTTTACCTACACTCAATTTTGTGTCTTCTCATGTTTTGCATTTGATCATCAGCATCTCGGCCAAAACTCTCAGTCGAATCTAACCATCACTAGGAAGAAGTGGGAGAAGGGAGGGAGCCAAATCGGGCAGAAGTTAGAGGCTTTGGCTTCATATCTGAGAAGTGTATTTGTTTTGAGATGAAGAGAAGAAAGATTTTTGACCAAGCCTTCGTCGACGTCTAGGTAGGAAGGCAGAAGTGCCACGTTCAACGTGTTTTACATAACGACCAGAGAATTGAATGAAGCCATACCATAGCTGACTGAATACACTATAGAAGGCTCTCTGTCCGTGTCTGAATTTGCTCTAATACCATATGAAGAACAGAAATCCATAGATGAGTAAGTGATTGGCTCAAGCTCCGGAAGTTGCGTCTAACCCTTATTTTAACACATCCAAGATAGTCTGCTCTCCACGAGGCACCCCTATATATCTTTTGGCTCTAATGAACCATTCATGGCAGGGGAGACGAGCACAATAATCATACGGAATATTGAGGCTGACCTCCACATCGCGAATCCTACTAATCAATAGAAGCGAAAGCAAAGTGCATCACACAAACCAAGCAGTCGCCCAGGATACCTCTCGCCCGTCGGCATCCAATTCCCTCCATCTCGGAAAGAAAATACTATCTATTCTCAAGCGGAATGCAATTTCGGGTTAGATTAAGCGAATCCAAGTCTGCAGGCTGGTTAAGGAGCATTTGAACGAAGCCACTGCCGGTTAGTTGCCTGAACTGTCAGGCGCTCCTCCTCCTTCGCGGCTCCCTCCCACCACACTTTCTTACCAGGCTCTTTCTCGCCCCAGAGCCCCCTCCTTCCCTTCCGAGTTGTCGGCTATCATCTTTTGTCTAAATATACTTACCTTCCATTCCTTATCCGCAATTGGGTCACCCGTTGCTTTACAGTCTTTCCCTTTTGGTTGTCTTGGGTCCTTGGCGGTTACAGCTTCCCCAGCTGCTTTATCGATCCCGTCATGGCCAGAAAGCAGAGAAGAAGGGTGGCAATGACCCCGGTAAGCTACTTGCGTATTTCTAAGTGCCAGCCAGCCCTCCTCCCTGCAGTTCCTTGGACCATGTCTCGTCGAGGATCCCAATGATAATGGAGAGTTCCTATCGTGGGAGTGTTCTGTCCTCAGTCGTTGCACCGAACCCGATCCTTTCTTTGGTTTCTTCTTGATCCAACTTGGTCATTCTGTCTTTTACGAGTTGCTCTTTTCTTAATAGCCGTTTGCCATTGCCTTTGCTCCTTTCATTCGCACGCATAGCTTGCTGCTCCCTTCCCCAGGGCATCCGGTGTACCCTTTTGCATTCATTCTCCTCGGCTTTGATACAAAAGCCAATTTTGGCACCAAAACCCAGTCAGTCATTTCACGGGATCACCTTCAGAAACTGTCTCCTTTCGCTTGAGGTCCGCCTGCGATTGTCACTAACATCGATATGTTAGACTATGGCATCTCTGCCTCGGTCTGGGCCAATTCCTGACACCCCGAATCCTGTAGCAAAACAGATCCCTCTTCTCTGCAGCGTTTGCCCCGAAACGCCAAATTTCTCCGATGTGTCTCATCTTCTCACGCATATTGCGTCCAAAGGCCATCTCCACCACGAGACGCAAACAAAACTAAAGGCCCACCAGGATCTTGTCTCCTCGATTGCTTTGCAGCAATATGAGCAGTGGTACAGAGAGAACAACATCGAGCGTTTGCTAGTCGACCGAATGAAAGCGAAGCAAGTCAAAGAGGCTGCTAGAAACAAACGAAATAGGGCTTCTTCTGCCACGTCTATTCCAAAGGTGGCAAGCTCCTACCAATGCTATCACTTAGATTCAAGCTAATAGTTTGTACAGGGCAATAGAAAACAACCCAGAAGATCCACGAGCAACAATACTGTCATTAAAACCGAGGAGGGGCTTGTCCCGGACTTCCCAGGCTTAGCTGGCTTTTTTGCATCCGACAACGAGATCGAAGCACCTGAAGAGTTGGCTGCCCTGGGGGATATGATATCCATGAAAGGTCAAGTTTGGCCTGGGATGGGAAAAATGGATTTGGCAACAGAAGAGATGAAGCGTACCCGGAACCAGAGAAAGCCAAAATCTGTTGTCGAGAAAATGCGACGCACCTCGGAGGAAATCGAACCTACGCAAGTGGTAATGACATCTCAATTTAATGTTGAGAGAGTTAAAGGCGTATACGATGACGATTCTCCTGTTTCTGACCAAGATGTAGCGGTAAGTGCGGATAGGTTCTGTCCTGACAAAGCTTCAAAACTCACACCAACAGTCTCCGCCTCGGAGGATTACAAGGAAGCGACGCAAAGAAACTCAGCCCTTAGCGGAGATATCCTCCAACATCCCAAGAGGAAGCAGTGGCCGCACCTCGCGCCCCAACGGAACTAAGAAGCCGGCTAAGCTGGAGCCTCTGCTCAATAATGAAAGCATTGTGGACATGCCGTCTGCCATCGGCGCTCCCCGAAGTCAAACTGACATATTTCACGATGAGAACAGGATTGGTTAGATGGTTGATGCTTTTTTATGCTGATTCATAACTAACATATATTTCAGCAATCGGTTCGAATGAAGTTTACCCTTCGTCCTCGACACAGCGAGACTCTAGGTTGGCCTTCTCTACTGGGTCTATTAGCCAAATCCACTAATTCTGTAATTCAGGTTTGATCTTCGAGGCCATGCAGGGCTCCAGAGCATGCTTCAGAATTCGCATTCAGGGTTATCCCCTCACACTTCCACAAGAGACCTGCATACACCTGTTGGATCCCAAAGAACCTCCTCCCAGGTCAGACTGTCGATGCATCCATATCTCACTAATGGAAGTCAGTTTACTCTAGGTGAGCATATATGACAATTCTACCAGTTGAACTAGCAGCTCTAATGTAACCCAGGGTCATTTGGTCATCAAGATCCCTCCTATGCACTGGGTGACAGTTCTCTATACCAAACCCCTTCCCAGCTTTCTTTCATGCCGGGTCTTCATTATGACCTCCTTGGGCAGGATAGTCACAGATTTTCCTCAAGCCATCATCAGACCGTGCCCAAGTCTGAGGATTTCTCACAGAATGATACTGATGACCCTCTCGGATCCTCCGTCTCAAACGTCTTTCTTAATTTTGGCAGTGGCAATTCGAACGCGCTTTTTGGCAACGACCGCTTGTTTTTTAATTCGTATACTCCGCCAGCTACTAATCCACCATTTACATCTATCGGGCACAACGCAGCGACCATTGATAGAGAAGTTGGTTACTCCACGAGTACGGAGGAACTACTGCAAACAAGCGCAACCTCACCCGTGAAGATAGAGCCCCAGCCAAACGGGCTGCTCGAGCATGACAACGCAGGTCTACCAGAAGCCAATGAAACCATATTTGACCCCAAGAACGTTTGGCGTCTCCATGACCCGGAAAATACTTTGGACATTCCCGATGCCCTCCGGTCGGAAGGGCTAGATCTTTAAGAATGGGCATGAAGCTGTTTCAAACTTCATTGACTTGCCTTGCCTTCACATCTGGCGTTCTACAGATACGCCAACTGGATCTCTCGGAGTTTTTGACTAAAATGCACATGATAATTTCCTTCGGCCATCAAGCAAACTAAAAGCACCAGTAGCGAGATGAACTTCCAACACCACCTGGAATCGCTCTGATCGCCCTAGAAAGTCTACTACCTGCGATCCTACCAGAGTCTATAATCGAAAACCTCTGACCAAAATTTGAAAATGTGCGGCAGCTGGGACAAGGAGTGCCCTTGTCCCATCATCTGGGCATGTGATTCAATTGAGCACACGGCGTTTTGACCTTCCATTTAGCAGTCCGTTAATCCCAAAACAAAAGTTGATATATCGAGTCTTTAGCCAAATGAGTATGGGCTACAATTTATTTAGATGGGACAAAACTGAGTTTATGAATGGGTTATTGGTATTGGGCGAAGAATACTTGCACGGCGATCACACCAAGGCGCGAATGGGCTTCCAAATAAATACAGGCTAATCTAAGCTTCTAGATACAACAACTTTAACCCAGAGAAAAATCATTATTTTTGCGTCTGTCCATCCATTAGTCCATCCGTGAGGTAAAAACTGTCCTACATAACCGATATACTTTTCGAACATTTCCTTAAAGCTGTTCGATACTTGCTATGAGATGATCCAGATTTTGAGTCCCGTTAGGTCCAAGAGTGTCGGCCAGAGCACTACAAGCTCCGCTAAGTTGCCTGGCCCGCATGGTCTTTTCCATGTGTTCAGATTTGAACGATGCCACGTCCAATATTTTTCGGGGGATTCTAGCCAATCGAGCAACATTGAGACCGTAAGAACGATGGGCAACTCCCTCTGTGGGCTCATAGAGGAACGTTATCTCCTCCTCACCGTCTGGCCCGGTCTCTGCCGTAAACTTCATATGAATGTTCTTCACGCCTTCAAGACCTTCTGTGACTCGAGCAAGATTCTGATAGTGGGTGATGAAGAGGGTAAGACAGCGGGTTTCGGTGACCACGTGATGAAGAACGGCCTGGGCAATGGCAGCACCATCGTGGGTGCTCGTGCCACGACCAAGTTCGTCCAGGATGACGAGGCTGCGGGGCGTTGCGGACTTTAGAATACGGACCGTCTCCGAGACCTCGACCATGAAGGTAGACTCGCCCGCGAACAGGTTGTCTCGGGCACCCGTACGCGTATGGATCGCATCGCAGAGGGTGAGGGTGAGGGAGTCTGCGGGGACGAATGAACCAATCTGGCTGAGAAGGACGATGAGGGCAAGGGCGCGGACGAAGGACGACTTGCCGCCCATATTGGGGCCAGTGATGAGATTGGCGAGGGGTGAGGGGTTTGCTAAGCTGGTAGTAAAGGGGATGTATCCGCTTTCGAGGGTGTGCTCTGCTATGGGATGGCGGCCTTGGGTGATGGAGATGGAGGGGGGGTCAGAGTCGGGCAAGAAGGCTGGCTTCGTGTATCCTGGCTGGGCGGCAACCTTGGAGAGGGAGAGAAGGCAGTCCAGGGTTGCGAGTGAAGAGATGGCATCGCGCAGGGGCTGGTAATCGTCTGATATCTTGCGGAGGAGATCCTTGAAGGCTTGGTCGCAGCTGGCGGCGAGGGCCTCGCGGTGCTGGTCGCGCTCAGCAGTGAGGCGCAGGATCTCGGGGGTGTGGAATCGAGAGACCTTCTTGGTTCCCGAGATCTTGGACCATGAGGCAGGGACATGCTTGATGTCGGTATTGGGCACCTCGATGAGATATTCAATGCCGGCGACAGTCGTGTACTCGATTTTCTTCTTCTTGATCTTCTGGGCTGCTTCGGCCCGGTGGTTGTCGAGGTCGAGCTCGACATGGGCAATGCTCATCTGGTGATCTTGAATCTCTTCTGTTTGATACTCCTCGCGGAAGAACCCATAACGGTCATCTTTACGGGCGGCCTCGAGATTTATCTGCTCCAGATACGAGTTCACGGTGTCAAGGATCTGGGGAAGTGAGCAGATTGCGTCGTTGAGAAGTGGAGCATCGAACGAGGTATCGGAGCGAGATTTTACGGTTGCGTATTGGGTTGCGATTCGCTGCAGAGTCTGGAGGACAGAGAGCAGCTCTGGGCGAGTGCACTTTCCGTAGTAAATTCGTACCAGGCTGCGCTCCAAGTCAGTCCTTGTATTCTTGAGAAGTCTCTCGAGCTGGTCGACCGGGCCAGTGGATTGCTTCTCGAGTAGTTCCTCGACAGCGGCAAGGCGAGCTTCCAGATGTTCCCTATTCAATAATGGGCGGCCAACCCATTTCCGCAACAACCGTTGGCCAAAGCGGGTGAGTGTCTTGTCAACCGCCCAGAAAAGACTTCCACGCTCGGCATGATCGGTCGAATTGCGGTAGACTTCAAGACTCTCGAGAGTTGTACCATTGATAAGCATATGCGATCGGGTAGAAAAACTCTGGAAGTATTTGGTGAGATCGAAGATGTGCTCAAGACCATATTCTGTCAGGTGAGATATCATGGCTGATAGGCAGGTTGTGACAGGCTCCGGAAGCTTCAGGACCTTGTCTAGGATGCCATTTGCCACGCCATCTCCAGATGAAGCCTTGAGCTTGTCGGCGTAGAATTCTGTAACATGAGAATAAGCCTCCGTGGCCACGGTCTTGCTCTTAGGCACCCTCTCCACTCTGCTTTTGTCCCCGAACACGTTGGTGGTGCTACCAGACAGATGCTGTATGAGCTTTTCTGTGCCTGCACTGAGTTCTCCCACGATAAGAAACTCGCAGGGGGATATGTGCAAAAGTCTGGTCTCCACCTCGCTTCGCATGAAGCCATCCTCAAAATTGTCATATATAATGTCTCCAGTGGCTGGCTGGACGGCAAGAATGCCGACATCAACCTTCTCGTCAGTACCTAAGCCCTTGGCTTTTGTTTCTGTGATGCAGAGCAAATAGCCACCAGCCGGCGCGGCCCCCTGTTGCACATCAAGCTCTCCATTCTCGTCAATGTATGTTCCCTTGGTATAGAGGTTGGTGAGCTTGCGAACGAAAGGGGTGTTGCGGTTATCCCCGGCCTTCTTTAGGGCAGCCGTTTCAACCTGGCGAACAACGCCCACTTTGTGGCCTGCACCGACTAGACGCTTCGCATGTACAGGCAAACGATGAACCGGGATACTAGCGGACGCAAATTTGTCCAAATGGGCCTCGGACGGATCTGTGGATCGATCATAATTAGACATTGAATCAGAGGAATACAGTTGGTTCGCAAAGGGCAGGTGATAACTTACGCTCATCGTATCTCATTTTACCAGGAATGCACACGATGCTGAGCTCTTTAGCGGCAATTCTTGCATCCTCGCCGAAGAATCGGAACTTGTATCCAACTTCTACGATGAGGATGGTATCCATATGCTTCCGCTTGATATCCAGAAATTGCAGCTCCATCGGGGTGAGCTTCCCAGTCTTTGCGCCTTTCTTTTTACCCTTGGCCGGTGCTGGAGGTTCTTCATCTTCATCTTCGTTCTCGGCGTCTTCATCTTCTCCTGCCGGTGTGCCGCCGTCTGGTGCATTGCCCCTTGATCGCCAGGACATTGCGTCGGGGTGACCGAGCTTTTTGACAAACTTTCGATGTAATTCTTCGTTCTTCTTCTTAGTTAGAGCGTCGCTTTCATCGCCATCTTCATCGGGCCGCCTCTGGGAGCTTGATTCATCATAGGCATATCGTTCTGCTCGGGGTGTTGGTGCATGGCTCAGGGGCGCATCAGTCGGAGGGTTGCTGGCAACCGCTTCAGATACAGGTGCTGTAGCCTTTGCAGAGGCTTTTCTGGGCTTCTTGGCTGTGCTTTTGGTGCTATTTCTGGGTTTATCGTCATCGTCGTCATCTGGAATCGCTCGTTTTCGTGCAAGTGGTGATGAAGCAACGGCTAGGGGCGATGATGGCGGCAATTGACCCGGCTTTCCGGTAACTGCTTTAGGGGTAAAAAAAGAAGTCAAAGACTGCTGCTTCTTTCCAGAGGTCGGAGCCATTGTAGTCTCGGTATGGGCTTGTGGTCATGGGTGCAGTCTTCATTGACCCAAGATCTCTGTCGTCAGCTTGAAGCTTTTTGATGGGGACTGTAGCTGTATGACGATATTCCAGCTTGTCGCGTCTTCTGGGTTGGGAGACGCGTTGAGTGGCTTGGTCCACTTTTTCAACGGCAAGGGAAGCAAGTGCGATACGGCTGTGGGGCGTTTCACTGGCGGTAGAAGGACCTGCTTGTGCTTCACCCAGAGCTTCAATAGTAGGACACCCTGGGTTCGGCATCGCTTGCCAGTACGGCATCTTAAAATGTAGCAATTTGGATGGGCCATATTCTGAGATTCTAGCCGTACAAGGCTCGGTATTCGCGAGAAACCCAAATCTATATAATTCCGGTGGATGTTCAGTATCAACAGGCTTGGTCTTTTCCCTTGACTGAGGCACACCACTCTTATCAACTACCCCTCTCGCAATCTATCAGATGCATACCTGAGGTAGTAAACCAGGTGTATACCACGATGAGAAGTCATGCTCCCTGGAAGGGTTGTCGCACATCAATCCCTGCAGGTAGCTGCATAGAGCTTATGTTCTGAATGATCTGCCAAGCTAGCCCTGGAGACCCCAGGAGAAGCGTCTCACTGCAGCACAAGCCGAAGGAACCGCTGTCCTGCCGCAGAGGCCGGAATGTCACATTTCCCCAGGCTCGAAAGCTCATGAAGGCCACGCCACGATGTCTCCGAAGTGCGTTAAGCGCCGAGAATGGCATATATCGCACCTTGAGTAGGACTAATCGGTTGTGATACCTGCCAGGGCCCCATACTGGTGGCTCCTCCACGTTAAAGTTCAACCCACCTGCCTGCTAGTGGTCAGTGCGCCCAGCGTCAAATGTGATACCTACGGGGTTAGTTCCCGCTATCAAACTGCCGTGTCTTGCCTGTCTTAGTAGGAGCCCTCAGGTACCAAACGGCATCAGCCTCGGGTTATTCTTT